AAAAACTGTCATTTATGGCCCAAAGTAGGTGAGCATGTCCATCTATGATTTATGTCATTGGTTTGATGACGGTATTCTGTGCAGACCAACTTAGTTGACGACGGTATTCTGTAACTATTTCAATCAACTTTGCTTCGGCCAGGTTAAGATTGGCTAGTGGTGTGAGGTCCAGGCCGGCAGATGGGTTGGATAAAATAGTTACTATTTACATCCATATTTGTCGCAAAATCGATTCTAAAACAATTCCAAAACGTTGGACAGATCGTTCATAGCCTTTGGAGATAAGAGAAACGTATAATATTGAATTATGAACGCTTGATAGGCCAAAACCACGAGTAACTTTTGAACGTATCTTTGTTCTCTTGTCTCAAAAATAGGTGCATCGATTGTTTTATAATGCAACACTTGCGGTTGTTCCTTGCGCTGACATCAACTTGAATTCTTTAATTTTGATTAATTATCTAACACCTGCGCACTTAAATGTATAACTATCACCGATGAGATAATGTCTTTAATGTTATAACTATCACAGCTTAAATAGATTAATACTGAGATTAATAGATTAATATTAATAGATTAAATTAATAGATTAAATAGATTAATAGACTATCGATATTAAGATTTTAATTTTTCCAGAAGTTTTGTAATTCTTCATCTCTTAATTGTGTGTTTTTCTTATTCTTCTTTTATAATGTCTTCACTGCTCATTTTTAACTAAAGCTTCTTTTGACTGCTTGATTTTGTCGTATGTCAGTTCTCAATTTAAAATTATTTTTCATTCCGTTGCGCCTGAAAGTTTGCTCTTATCTAATCAGATGAAAAATATATAACCAAACTGCAGATAGCGAACATCTCTTGTTTTCCCTATATTTTATAATTTATATTTTATCAGTGACTCTTCCTTTTGATTGGCCTTCTTTTGAATGTTCGGACAAAAATGCTCATTGAAGTACCCCGGACGTTACCGAAACAGTAATACGATTGTTTTTTTTTACCGAAGTTGGTAAAAATTATCATGTAAAAGGGTAGTTAATCAAGAAAAAGTAAGTCCCTCTATAATCCAAAGATTTTTTTCTCGGATGTTTTATTTCTTATTTCGCGCTCGTACTACTAAAAATTAATAATATAATTGTTCAGTGCATGTTATCTTCTTAGGTGTCAGCCATGAAATGCCTAGCTCCTTATCGAACCCGGTGGAAGTCTAGTAGCTACTTCAAACTATCGCCAGTCATGAAAAGATCCGGTCAAATGACTCGAGTTTAGATCTATGAACAAGGCACGAAAAGGAAAGAATCGGCGACAGGCCACATCAGGCCTACACTTCAGAGCCGACATCACTATGTTATGTTATGTTATGTTATGTTATGTTATGTTGGCTTGTAGCTGACAGCCTTGTAGCCTCCTAGCCACCTTGCAGATTTTGATCGGAATTTGAAAACGAGTCTCCAGCCCATAACTATCATATTGTAGATATCCTACATTTGGTCACCCTGATGTGGCCCAATCTGTTTTGATGATCTGTATTGATGTGCGAGATAATCGTCGGTGCAATCGTACAGTGTTGGGTATATATAGTGTCTATAATCTATACTATATGTTAAAAAATGTACTCGTAAACTAAGGTTTGATAAAACCACGTCCTCGACTGGTCGCAGCGACTGGTGAGACTTGCTGCCTTGTTACCTCGCGACGTCAGGTGAGACTTGCTGCCTTGTTACCTCGCAGCGACTGGTGAGACTTGCTGCATTGTTACCTCGCAGCGACTGGTGAGACTTGCTGCATTGTTACCTCACGGCGACTGGTGAGACTTGCTGTCTTGTTACCTCGCGGCGACAGGTGAGACTTGCTGCCTTGTTACCTCGCGGCGACAGGTGAGACTTGCTGCCTTGTTACCTCGCGGCGACTGGTGAGACTTGCTGCCTTGTTACCTCGCGGCGACTGGTGAGACTTGCTGCCTTGTTACCTCGCGGCGTCAGGTGAGACTTGTTGCATTGTTACTTCACGGCGACAGATGAGACTTGCTGCATTGTTACCTCGCAGCGACTGGTGAGACTTGCTGCCTTGTTACTTCACGGCGATTGGTGAGACTTGCTGCCTTGTTACCTCGCAGCGACTGGTGAGACTTGCTGCCTTGTTACCTCGCAGCGACTGGTGAGACTTGCTGCATTGTTACCTCACGGCGACTGGTGAGACTTGCTGTCCTGTCTCTTATACACATCTAGATGTGTATAAGAGACAGGCCTTTGCTTTGTCTCAGCCATTGCTCTGTCTCTGATATTGCTCAGTCTCAGCCTTTGCTCCGTCTCAGCCATCGCTAAGCCCCAGCCTTTGCTTTGTCCCAGCCGTCGCTCCGTCCCAGTCACTGTTGCGTCCCAGCCATCGTTCTGTCCCAGCCACTGTTCTGTCCCAGTAATTTCTCTGACCCAGTCATCGTTCTGTCTTAGTCATTACACTCCTGGATTTTCAGAATGCATTATTTTGTGTAAAAATGACCATGCAACTGCACCGTGCTAGGCAATGAACGCAGTCAACCACACACCACCTACCGAGAAGTGACTGGTTAAGTCGCTACTTACCTGCCGAGCAGTGACTGTTTAATTAAGTTGCTACAATATTCATGAGTCGCACAGATACTTTTTTTCCTAATAAGTTCTTCTTTCGCATGACAGTATTTTTACATCGAACGCTGCAACGGCGGAATAAAAGTACGAATAAATAAAACGTCTAGCGGGGTGACGTGGCTTTTTCAGTTTTTTTAGTGAATTTCGTGACTGCGTTCATTTCATAGCACGGTGCAGAAACCTCATTTTTCTGAACGCCTTCTTCCCTCCCTCCCACAGTGAAGAGTGAGAAGTGCTACTAATATGAGCAGGTAAGTTACATGTCTTGTTCCGGTTCATTTGCAACTGTGCAGACTATATAACAACTGACAGCCGCCTGGCTCTATAACAACTGACAGCTCCCTGGCTCTATAACAACTGACAGCTCCCTGGCTCTATAACAACTGACAGCCGCCTGGCTCTATAACAACTGACAGCCGCCTGGCTCTATAACAACTGACAGCTGCCTGGCTCTATAACAACTGACAGCCGCCTGGCTCTGTAACAACTGACAGCCGCCTGGCTCTATAACAACTGACAGCCCCTGGCTCTATAACAACTGACAGCTGCCTGGCTCTATAACAACTGACAGCCGCGAGGCTCTATAACAACTGACAACCTCCTGGCTCTATAACAACTGGCAGCTGCCTGATTATATAACAACTGACAGCTGCCTGGCTCTATAACAACTGACAGCCCAGGTTCTATAACAACTGACAGCTGCCTGGCTCTATAACAACTGACAGCTGTCTGGCTCTATAACAACTGACAGCTGCCTGGCTCTGTAACAACTGACAGCCGCCTGGCTCTGTAACAACTGACAGCCGCCTGGCTCTATAACAACTGACAGCCTCCTGGCTCTATAACAACTGACAGCCGCCTGGCTCTATAACCTGTCTCTTATACACATCTAGATGTGTATAAGAGACAGGCTCTGTCTCAGCCATAGCTCTGTCTCAGTCATTGCTCTGTCTCTGATATTGCTCCGTCCCAGCCATTGCTTTGTCTCAGCCATAGCTCTGTCTCTGATATCGCTAAGCCCCAGCCTTTGCTCTGTCTCAGCCATCGCTCCTTACCAGCCGTCACTCCGTCCCAGCCATCGTTCTATCCCAGTCATTTCTCCGACCTAGTCATCACTCTGCCTTAGTCATTACACTCCTGGATTTTCAGAATGCATTATTTTTTTGTAATTTGAATGCATTATTTTGTGTAATTAGAATGCATTGTTTATCATGCAACCGCAGAATGCTAGGCAATGAACGCAGTCAACCACACACCACCTACCGAGCAGTGACTGGTTAAGTCGCTACAATATTCTTAAGTCGCACAGATACTTTTTTTCCTAATAAGTTCTTCTTTCGCATGACAGTATTTTTACATCGAACGCTGCAACGGCGGAATAAAAGTACGAATAAATAAAACGTCTAGCGGGGTGACGTGGCTTTTTCAGTTTTTTTAGTGAATTTCGTGACTGCGTTCATTTCATAGCACGGTGCAGAAACCTCATTTTTCTGAACGCCTTCTTCCCTCCCTCCCACAGTGAAGAGTGAGAAGTGCTACTAATATGAGCAGGTAAGTTACATGTCTTGTTCCGGTTCATTTGCAACTGTGCAGACTATGTAACAACTGACAGCCTCCTGGCTCTATAACAACTGACAGCCGCCTGGCTTATAACAACTGGCAACCGCTTGGCCCTTTAACAGTATGCGCGGAGGCTGACGGTTATGACTCGAGTTTCTTACACGTCTTTTGATACAAAGTGAACAAAGAAGATTAATATTCTATGGAGCAGAACGTAGCCTCTAATGTTGTTTCTTCACGCTCTTTGTCTGCTGAACAGTCTAGGTATATAAAGACGGGCGTTCGATGACGTCAAAATGTATGCGTGGAAACTAAGATATGTTTGATATAACATAGTGATAACATAACATAGTGATGTCAGCGCTGAAGAGTAGGCCTGATAATAATAATAATAATAGCGGTTTCAGCGTTATTAGGCCGTAGGCCTGTCGCCGATTCTTAACATTGCAGAACATTCACAGCATTTTGCGGTCTCGAACTCACAACTCACTGCTACAATTCTGCTATACTTAACCGCCCGGCCTCCTTGCCGATTCTGACCAGAAACTGGCGCACAGAGCTGGGATCGAACCCGCGCCTCTCTGCGCCAATCTTGGTACTCTGAACTGTAAACCACTGGGCCACCCTGCCCAGTGGTTGATGTGAACTGTCGCCGGTTCTTGAACTTTTCGTGACTTGTTCACAGAAGATATTTGACTTATTTTATGACAATTTGACTTGTTTTATGACAATTTGACTCGTTTTATGACTATTTGACTTGTTTTTCTATGTTTTAGACACAAATTCACCTAATATATTTAATTTTAATTCGGTCATCAGGAGGAGTTCGACGTGCTGGTGGTGGGCGGCGGCGCGACGGGCTGCGGGTGCGCTCTGGACGCCGCGTCCCGGGGCCTTAGAACTGCCTTGGTCGAGCGCGAGGACTTCTCCTCCGGCACGTCCTCCAGGTGAGGACTTCTCCTCCGGCACGTCCTCCAGGTGAGGACTTCTCCTCCGGCACGTCCTCCAGGTGAGGACTTAGATGCTCTCGTCACTTATAGCTCTCGTCATGTATAGCTCTCGTCATGTATAGTACGTCATGTATAGCTCTCGTCATGTATAGCACGTCATGTATAGCTCTCGTCATGTATAGCACGTCATGTATAGCTCTCGTCATGTATAGCACGTCATGTATTGCACGTTATGTATAGCACGTCATATATAACACATCATGTATAACTCGCTATAACTTAATTATTTTACTTTGCAGGTCAACAAAGCTTATCCACGGTGGAGTGCGGTACCTACAGAAAGCCATCCTGGGTCTTGATCTTGAGCAATACAAGATGGTCAAGGAAGCTTTACACGAACGCGCCAATTTACTGGACATCGCTCCGCATTTATCGTACCCGCTGCCCATTATGTTGCCCGTGTATAAATGGTGGCAGCTGCCGTATTTTTGGGCCGGCATTAAAATGTACGACTTGGTCGCAGGCAGCAAGTGCGTCAAATCATCGTATGCTATTTCCAAAGCAAAGGCTCTTGAATTATTCCCTATGCTTAAAAGCGACAAGCTTGTGGGCGCAATTGTTTACTACGATGGCCAACACAACGATGCTAGGATGAATTTATCCATCGCCCTCACGGCCACGAGGTTGGGGGCCATCACCACCAACTACACGTCTGTCGTGAAGCTCCTGAAGAAGTCCGTCGTGAACCCCGACGGCTCGACAGATGAGAAGATCTGTGGCGCACGATGTCGTGACGAGACCTCAGGCAGGGAGTTCGATGTCAGGGCCAAATGTGTCATCAATGCCACAGGTAAGATGTGTTTATTGTCAAATATTCTCAAATAAACGCACCGACAAATAGTTCTAGTATAGTATAGTATAGTATAGGATAGTTTAGTGGTAAGATGCATTTCTTGTCAAATATTCTCAAATAAACGCACCGGAAACTAGTTCTAGTATAGTATAGGATAGTTTAGTATAATATAGGTAGTATCTTCGGCGTTAAAAAATAGGCCTGGATAGGCCTGTAGCAGTCCATTCTTGTGCTTTTCTTGACTAGTACACAGATCTAAAATCTGTTTTGAAATCATTTCAACGGACAGTGGTTTGGAATCGTTTCTAGACTATATCCTGCGGCGAATAATTGAATGCCTATATTCGCTACATTCAATTCCACGTTTGGCTGCGTCCTTATTGTGATGCATGTTTCATGCTTAGCACAGACGCATGCATTTTTTCTCAATTTTGAAGCGTTTACGCCGATTTTACGGCCCCGCGCGTAAAATTCACTGATGTCCAGGACCCTTTACGGACGAACTGCGCCAGATGGACGACGCGACCCTGAAGACCATCTGCGCTCCGTCCATGGGGGTCCACATAACCCTGCCCGACTACTACTCCCCTGAGCAGGTGAGGGGTTCAGGGTTGGGGCTCAGTGTTGAGTGTGCCCCGTCCATGGGGTCCACATAACCCTGCCCGACTACTACTCCCCAGAGCAGGTGAGGGGTCCAGGGTTGGGGCTCAGTGTGCCCCGTCCATGGGGATCCACATAACCCTGCCCGACTACTACTCCCCTGAGCAGGTGAGGGGTCCAGGGTTGGGGCTCAAGTGCTCACAAACATAACCCTGCCCGACTACACTGTTAGAAAAAATGGTCCCACTGGCGTTCTAGTGACCGGCCGTCCCGTGAAAGTAAACTGTTTCGCCGTTTTTATCAGATGTTTTACGGATTTCTTGTGTTAAATTAGAATAAAAATGGTGACACGGTGTTTCTTTTCACTTACCGACCGGCCACTGAAACGCCGGTAATACCATTTAACGGTAATTTTTCTAACGGTGTACTTGATATACTCCCCTTAAATTCTTCATCATGCCAGCAGAGATGCTTGCTATTTTGTTGCATCGTGTAATATTTTAGGTTTTGTATCGACTGCTGATGAAATTTTTTTATTATTTCAAGTGTCAAATGTTGTTTCATGTTTAGTTTCTCTTGAACCTTGACATTGTTAATTTATGTTAGTTTCCAACCCTGAAAATCCAACACTATTTTTACCGGTCGAACTTTGTCTTACTTCGCATTATTTCAGCCACTAAATTGTTCCAAGTTGTTTGACGACGTCGTATTTTGCGAATGTAGGTGACCGGCGGTGAGGCTAGATCTAGACTCTTCTTTGTCGGCTAATATAGTAACTTTCGTCAAAACAAATTTTATATTATGACCTGATAGCTTAAGTCACTGTTAGTTTATATTTGGTTAATGCAATTAATGCAGCGTGTATTAGCCAATTTACATGTCTTAAACTCACCAGTAACTGTCGAGTGTCGTCAGCTTCAGCTATGCCATGAAAGCACTCCTATAAATGATTGAACTTTAAACCCTCTATCGCCTGACACGAGTAACCGGACCAATGTTGTCACGAGCCTACTTCCCAAAAAGGATACGCTGCTAGTGAGCGCAAAATGACTTGCACTGATGGTTGCCGCCACATACGACAACTTTAAAATGTTCTCTGTTGCGTACAAACGTCCCAGGTTGCTACACTCAATAGTTTACGTATAATTTAAGTTGAAATTTATGTTCCCGGAGAGTGACATACGGCGGTAGAGGGTTAACTTTAATGTTATGTTCCCGGAGAGTGACATACGGCGGTAGAGGGTTAACTTTAAAGTTATGTTCCCGGAGAGTGACATACGGCGGTAGAGGGTTAACTTTAAAGTTATGTTCCCGGAGAGTGACATACGGCGGTAGAGGGTTAATTTTAAAGTTATGTTCCCGGAGGGTAACTTACGGCGGTAAAGAGTTAACTGGGTTAACTACCATACTCTGGATGAACAGATGGGGTTGCTGGACCCGAACACGTCGGACGGGCGCGTGATTTTCTTCCTGCCGTGGGAGGGCCGCACCATCGCCGGCACAACTGACACCCCCTGCACCGTCACCCCGAACCCCGCACCTACAGAGGATGACATCCAGTTTATTCTGCAGGAAGTCAAGAACTACCTCAGTCCTGACGTCGAGGTGAGTGAGAACCCCTACGAGTGAGGTAGGTGAGTACTTTAATACGAGAGGTAGGTGGGTACTTAAGTAGGTGAGGTGGGAGAGAAAAACGAGAAGGCTAGGTGAGTGAGAACCACTACGAGTGAGGTAGGTAAGTACTTTGGTTGGATCGGTGGGAGAGAACCACAGAAGGCTAGGTGAGTGAGAACCACTGCGAGTGAGGTAGGTGAGTACTATAGTAGGAGAGGTGGGAGAGAAACACGAGAAGGATAGGTAAGTGAGAACCCTTGCGGGAGGTCGAGAACTACATCCATGCTGAGGNAAAATTTCCATTTTATAGAACCATGGAAACTGAAGACTTTCCTCCTCATCTCTTTCAATTATGACAAAAAGTTGGAACTAACTTCTAAAGGTTCACATTTTTCTGGATGTCCTTTAGCTGAAAACATGTCGCTCTTCATTCAATGGCCTGCGTTGTCCATATTACTCCGCCTTACTCATTATTTTGCGACCTTGTTCGTTTGGCTTGTTACCTTCAGGTTATTACAACAAGTCTTTCACGAAGATTGAAAAGAATCAATTGAAAAGATTCATTACTCCGCGACTTTTATTTTTTTATGACAAAACTTTTACCGGCTTCAATTATTTTAGTGTAGCGTCTGTGAGAAATACTAACACCAAGACTGATCTGATTTGGTAAATGACTTCTGTAACTGATAACCTGATGGTCTTGGTTCTACAAATTGCATATTTGAAGCTTTCCCAGCTTTTAAATACAATACTTTCGTACTCGTCTAAAACCAGGATAATTTACCTATAGTTCGCTGAAAGCAGCTCGAGCAGCCTTGCTCGATAGCATGTTAAGTCTAACTAAAGTAAACGTCGGTGCCGAGATTTGCCCTACAATCGATTTGATTTTTACGTAAAGCTTTGTTCTCAATCGCCCATCGATCGTGTCGACTAGGGGTCAACGGCTCACATTTATGCGCGCCACTGAAATTTACCTTCGTAGCTGTCTCTTATACACATCTAGATGTGTATAAGAGACAGGAGCATGTCTGTGGCTGGAGCTCGCTATTCCTGACGTTATTTTATATCTAAAATGGAGCAAAGCTGAACATGATTAAATGGAGCATGTCTGTGACTGTAGCTCACTATTCCTGATGTTATTTTATATCTGAAATGGAGCAAAGCTAGATATGATTAAACCTGCTTTCTGTCTGAATCTGAGTAATGTGTGGTTCTGAATCTTGAGTAATATGTGGTTCTGAATCTGTGTAATGTATGGTTCTGAATCTGAGTAAAGTGTGGTTGTGAATTTGGAGTAATGTGTGGTTGTGAATTTGGAGTAATGTGTGGTTGTGAATTTGGAGTAATGTGTGGTTTTGAATCTGAGTAATGTGTGGTTGTGAATCAGTGTGATGTGTGGTTGTGAATTTGGAGTAATGTATGGTTCTGAATTTGAGTAATGTGTAGTTCTGAATCTGAGTAATGTACGGTTCTAAATCTGAGTAATGCGTAGTTCTGAATCTGAGTGATGTGTAATTCTAAACCTATGTAATGTGTGGTTCTGAATCTGAGTAATATGTTGTTCAGACTGCGGGCTGGAGCCTCTACACACCACGTCCCAGACCGACGGGCTGCTGCTGGAGGGCGCCCATACCTGGACTCCCACGATGTACATCTCTGGTGAGACTTGCTGCCTTGTTACTTCACGGCGATTGGTGAGACTTGCTGCCTTGTTACCTCGCAGCGACTGGTGAGACTTGCTGCCTTGTTACCTCGCGGCGACAGGTGAGACTTGCTGCCTTGTTACCTCACGGCGTCAGGTGAGACTTGCTGCCTTGTTACCTCGCGGCCACTGGTGAGACTTGGCGCATTGTGCCAAATATTACACGAGGTCATAATAACTCGGATAATTGGCGCATGTTGGCAACCCACTTAAGCGCTTTGCGTATCTACGATACGCGAGCGACCAGTGCAGTGGCCAAGCGAGATGCCGCGTGCATTTTACGAAACCTGGTGCATAATTCGCTTCGATAAGTCGACAGATCTACACAGAGGATTTTTTTGAGAACCCTCATCGAAATTTTAAATTTTTAATCTGTGTTCCGTTATTTAAATAAATGGTTTTGAAGAATCCTTTGACATTTTTTGTGAGGAATGACTTTTTTGTGTAGAGTAACATACACGTGTCATACTGCATCACGTTTGACTCCCCGACAATGCATAAAAAATTTTGGTGTCAAGTAAGCGGAATTTAAGTGATGATGAAAAGTTATTTCATAGCCAAGTATTTAGATGACTATGAGCGAATAAATAAATAAAATAGAAAGTGAACCCTAAAGTTTGGCGACCGAAGCGAATTCCGCGCGGGAATGAACTTGATTGTACCGCGCACCTCAGACGGGAATGGTCGCGCGTGACAGCTTCTCTTGACAGTATGGTGGCCAGTGGGTGAGTGGTAACTGGCCATCGAGGGTCCATCGGTGAGTTGTGACGGCTAGTGGTGGCCAGTAGGTGAGTGGTAACTGGCCATCGTGGGTCCATCGGTGAGTTGTGACGGCTAATGGCGGCCAGTCGGTGAGTGGTAACTGGCCATCCTGGGTCCATCGGTGAGTTGTGACGGCTAGTGGTGGCCAGTAGGTGCGTTGGAAATGCATTAAGCGATTCTGTACATGTTGCTCAAGGTTTTTTTTTTTTTAATTTTTAAAAATGATTTTCGACTGAAGTATTTGAGCAAATCTTAACAAGGAGGAAAGTTTAATGAGGCTGAACGATCAGTTTTCATGAGTTGACGAAAGCTAGGTATGTTCTCGCTTGACGCCATGGGTCACTGAGTTGCTGCTTGCGACCGCACATACTGATGGGTTTGGTATGAATCGTAAACCGTCTAACCTATAGCATGGGACTTCGATACGTTAATAATATTAAGGAAAAAGGTGTCTCTTGAGAGCCCTCTGTGCTGCACAGTGGGGCGGCGGCTCCACAGCGGATTCCCATACATCGATGCCGAGGTTCGCTACGCGTGCCGGGAGTACGCGGTCACCGCCGTGGACATCATCGCACGCAGGCTGCGATTGGCCTTCCTGAATGCTAAGCGCTTCAACTCCCTCGACACCGACAAAAAAGGATACATCTCCCTCAACGACCTGCGCAGATCACTCGAGGTAAGACTAAGAGTAGGTAACGCTAGGTTGGGTTAGGTAACGTTGAGCTAGGTTAGGTAACGTTGGGTTAGGTGACGTTGGGTTAGGTTAGGTGACGTTGGGTTAGGTTAGGTAACGTTGGGTTAGATAAGGTAAGGTTAGGTTATCGGCACGTCCCCTATAGGCCGATTTTTCTCGAATCGCGACTACGATCTTGTCAGTCAAGGCCTCTGCAAATCCCTTGATGTATTCCGACTCGTACAAAAGTCATTCGTGAAGAGCCACACGATTGCCTAATACCTGCCAACTAGCAGATATGAAGAGACGTCGCCTCCGCTTTTTAGCGCATTTTCTCATTTATAAAAAAAAGTGCTATTGTTCTTGTGTGTGAACGAATTTGTCTCACCGTTGGTCTGCTTTTAATTTGATTAATATCTTTTTACAGCATGATTGATTTTTAATATAATTCGTTCATGTGAACTGCGATTCATAACGTAATACCAGCTTAAATTACATCGATAGCTACCGGCTGCTGTAATTAGAACCTATTTTAATTTAAAATTTCGAAACTCATACCTCGATGTATGAGGTATTTATTTGATTTATTTGGTTTTGAGTGTAATAAATATCTTGCTGAGCCGCGTCTTCTGTATTTCTTTTAAAGGTACGAGGCCAAGATGTACCGGGCGAAAAGCTACACGAGATTTTAAAAGAAATCGATCTTAATCTCAACGGGCAAGTCGAACTCGAGGAATATCTTCAGGTATGTTTTATTTATTGGCCGTCTTTTTTACAGGGCTTCTACATGACCATATGGTTCATTATTAAGTACTCCATTATCAGGAGGCTGGAGCTAAGGCTGGTAGTTAATGCTTTCTGACCGTCGGGCGATGATTCCATTGACTTGATATTTTGTATCTGAAACTTTGACAAATTTCACTCGCGAGTATTGTGTAAATGAAATTCCCTAGTGAATGTCCCGAATATTTCCTAGTGAATGTCACGCAAAATTCCTAGTGAATGTCACTCAAAAAAATGGTCACAATTCGCAGTGAACAAAGCAAAGTCGGTAATTAGGCTGCATACTTAGCAGCTTAGTTGTTGGCTATGAATCACCGATCATTTCATATAGATTTGTTTCAGCTTAGTTGTTGGCTATGAATCACTGATCATTTCATATAGATTTGTTTGCATTGCTTTTATCTTTTGATATCTAGACGTTGACAATTTTCTTTCCTATTTATCTAATCGGATAATCTATGTACCAAATATATTGAGATAATCTATGTACCAAGTATATTGAGATAATCTGTGTACCAAATATATTGAAATAATCTATGTACCAAATACTTTGAGATAATCTATGTACCTAATATTTTGAGATAATCTATGTACCAAATACTTTGAGATAATCTATGTAGGTACCTAATATTTTGAGATAATCTATGTACCAAATAAATTGATATAATCTATGTAGGTACAAAATATTTTGAGATAATCTATGTACCAAATATATTGATGATGTTATCGTAGACTATTTGTTCTCAGATGATGGCGGCCCTCAAGAGCGGTTCGATCTCTCACTCCCGCTTCGCACAGCTGGCGCAGATGGCGGAGGAACACGCCACCAAGAGTGTTATTTCTGTTGAACGCAGTGGAGGTGGAGTCTAAACTTAGCTACACTCATGACATTGAATGGGTTATTGAACAAATAGTGACCTACTTTTGTGAAGCTCGAGAAAATAGCGAACATAGGGCTGATATGGGCGAAAGTGGGTTAGGATGACCCACGTAAAGGAAAAATTATAACTCAGTACTCACTGCAGCGAGTTACAGAGAGCGCATTTTCTCGTCGACGAAAACGTGAAGTCACGGACGGACGGACGGACATGACGAGCCCAATGGCGCCTTTTTTTCCATAAATCAGAAAATGCGCTAAAAATGAGTCGCTGTTTAGACGAGACAACTCTTACTTCTCTTACGGATGATGTAGTTAACTAGTATTCAATGTCTTCATGATAACGACGTGTTCTTGATATACAGGGTTATCTATATGATGTCTTATGCAAGAGATATAATACTAAAGCATGTTCTCTTTCCCATTATTTCAGCCGAATTCTAATTGTTGTTTTTAACTTTGGTCTGCGTGCGATTGTGTTCGAAAAAGAAAACTTCCTGTTGGGTTAATTAAGCTACCATATGATTTTTCAAGGCATTTCAGTTATTTTTGAAATGTCTGTTGCATCAAAGTTATGAGGTGCTGCTGTAATCCCGCGTATGATGTCGATATCAAAGCGATCTCTAAGTCTTGTGTAGAATTTTGAATTTTGGCTAAATAGAGTGTGTTATAGTACTCGAGAATATACTCTGTTATACATCCGTTCAGACATTCTGAATATTTTCTGAGATATCTGGTTGAGATGGTGGCCTTGCCGGCGAGTTGGTTCGGGGCGGTCTGTAAAGAGAAGGACAAATAGAAAAAATAGAGAAAAGTGAAAATGCGGTTGGGGCATAGTCTAGGCAACCCAACTTTTATGTAAGGGTGTCTAGGGGCTGTGGGATGCAGGAGAATCGTTGGGGCTTTAGGGGTGTCTAGGGGGCAATGGGATGCAGGATAATCGTTGAAGCTATAGGGGTGTCTAGGGGGCAATGGGATGCAGGAGAATCGTTGAAGCTATAGGGGTGTCTAGGGGGCTATGGGATGCAGGAGAAGTGGATGCCGATTGCTTCTATACATTATTTTAGATTTTGTTCATTTTTTGGAACAATTAAGATTTTGTGACAGACTCACAGTTGTTGAGATACAACTCGATCATTTATACTTACAACTATTCTAAAAATAATTTCAAAGGTTTCACAAATTCGTCAGTTTCAAAAACAGTGGTTTTAGGATGTGTGAAGATTTTTGAATTTTCTTTGCATTTGTAAGGGACCTTGTTTTTCGTATTAATAAATGAGACCCGATTCCGTTTGGGGGATCAAGTGCAATCCTAAAACTGTTCTTTACATTGTGTATGGATAGTAGGTGTTGTATATGAATATATTCGATGTGATTCTCCTAGCGAAGGGGAATATTTAGAACTTGCGTCTTGGTTCTTACTAGCCATTGTTTTATAGTGTATATTTATCTTGTAGAGGAGGGAAATATACATTTTATTGATGCTTTATATATTGAAATATTGTAACCGAAATGAATCAGATGTCCGCGTCACGTTGCAAAAATCGTGCCCTAAGTGCGGAAAAGTTGCCCATAATATTTATTGTCATACATTCTGCGCTGCCACAGTGAACAGTCCTCCGAACTTTAGACATGACCACGACTCACACATGTTGTTGTTCATCGCGTTGTTGAATGAAAGTGTTATGTGCGGACGTCTTTATTGCCCTGTTAGAGTTGAATGGCAAGAAGTATGATGAACATGATGGGTTATTGCGGGTAGGTTGTAGTCTTACGTTATGCGCAGTTGATACTGGCCCCCTAGTAACACTGTGTTAGGGCGTCTTGTGTTAGCGGTGCTGCGTGGTATGGTGGACAACGTCTTGGTGTTAATTTGTGTTATGAAATATCTTATTATATCACGTATACATTTTGTGATGGTGGTCGAGGGTGTAGTTATGTTATGAAATATTTTATTTAATTATGTATACATTTTGTGATGGTGGTCGTGGTCTTTTGTGGGTAGTGTGGTCTTTTGTGGGTAGTGTGGTCTTTTGTGGGTAGTGTGGTCTTTTGTGGGTAGTGTGGTCTTTTGTGGGTAGTGTTTTTGTGCGGTCATCCTCATATGTGTCAAATGAAGATGTTTCTACATATCTCCTGTTAGCATTTTGAGGTTGGGATTCCGGTGTTAAAAAAAGTTGGTGTCAAGGACGCGCTGTGCTGTGGGAGTGTCAGTTATTGTTATTTTGGTAATGTGATTTACTAATTGCATCTTGTATGTGAATCCATGAATATAGTCGTGAGATTGTAAACCTATTTTCTTAGTTAATTCCGAATTTTTTTTTTTTGCATAAATGGCGTTGTTTATTGAATTGATTAGTATGGTATTTATGGTATATCTCCACTGATTCGTTGTTCATTAAATGATTGTCCTTTTATCCCAACTTTTGAACCTTCACTGATTAAATAAGATAGCTTTTAAACTAAGACTTAATAAGATGTCGATATTTTGTTGAACAAAGGTAAAGTTAATCTTGCTGCCGCTTTTATCACTATGGTGATGAAGACGCAAAGGTTGTGACATTTGACGTTTTCCATGCGTCTTGATTATTAAGTTCGTTACTATTGCTATTTTATGATTATAATTGCATTTTATGGTCGTATTGATGTTTTATTTCTTCAACATTTGTTGAAAACTCTTCAGAAACATGTTGCAACGTATCCCTTGTATTTTATTTGCCTATTTTATTAGTACATTCTAAGATATTTTCACCTCAAAGAACATGCAGCCTTGGGTCTATTTTTCATTGCGGGTTTCGATAACATTTTTGCTACGTCAACCTCCGCTCCTCTTGACTGGCGATGCGTTTTTTACGTGCTAATTGAAGAAGTTAATTCTAGGAGGAAGCCTTGTGTTGTTTTCTGAATAGAAAATGCAGAAATACACAAAAAAATATTTATCTGCATTTAATTCATAATTTAAAAGATATCCATAACAACTTACTTTTCGAACTTGATTTTTATGAAATACATCCGCGCTCTCTGCTGTTGCAATGTTAGTTCATGGCTTTATCTGAAAGATGATCGCTATCTCGCTCTTGATTCACAGAGTTTCACTGAACTAATTAATTTATTTTCTGACATTTTATGAGGCTTTGTTGCAGTTCATCCTCTTTGGGGCATCCAATAACGTGTTTGCATGCAGCGTTTATAATTAATTTGGTGCAACAAAATAAATGGAAGTTTCTTACGCGAGAACATGGAAGTTTGCTCATCATTTTAAGAATGCGAATGTTATGAAGTTTGTGCTCCATTATCAGAGGTGGGCAGTATAGCGCGCTACATGTAGCGGTAGCGGAGCGTCGCTACATTGAAGCAATTGTAGCGGTAACGGCCACTACATTTCAAAGTAGCGCTGCCAAGCTCTGTCCATTACTTAATGAAGTTACTGAGACCACACAACTGCGGTTGTTCGATCGAAGATGAAATATTGTGACCCATTTCGCTCATAAAGTATCGTGACCCACCTTGCTTGTATATTATCGTGACCCATCTTTCTCGCATAGTATTGTGACTCATTTTTCTCTTATAGTATCGTGACCCATCTTCCTCGTATAGGATCATGACCAATCTTTCTCATATGGTATCGTGACCCATTTTGCTTGTAAGTTTAATTGGCTTGTGTAATTCTTTGCGCAACTAACGCACGTTAAGATTTAGGGAACTGATAAGAGATGATAACGGATGCTCTCAGCAAAGGTGCAAGCATCACAGACACATGCATCATTGATACAAGCAATAAATACGCGCAGTCTAAGACTAATCTAAATTTACACGTTGAGCTAAATGGTTTGCTGTATGATAAATGCTCATAAATGCTGTATGATATGATCATAATAAATAATGATTTGCTAGTCGGAGACCACCAAATCATGTGTGAGCTGACGGATGCTCACTCTGAAGCAGAGTTCAGCTTCATGTATTATTATTCACAGCAATTAAGCCAATTATTATTATTCATTGTCCCATACCGCGACTCCTGATGGGACAATGATTTCCTGCAGCAGCTGCCAGGGGCCATACTTTCAAAACTCGCTAAGTGAACGTAACTACTTACGCTCTATTTTCTTGTCTATGATTGGTGGATTTTGCTTGAAAGGCCGTCAATGATTGGCTGATGAACTTACGATCTAGGCCCAGGAAGGTGGAGAAGATCGAGTCTCACTATAGGTCCCACTCACTATGCTCCGGAAAGCATCGTTGTTGGGAATTATATTTGTTTACCACAATGCCGATATACAACAATAAATAAAAAGAAGGCTCGCGACATAACGCATACTTACGCCCCATTTAACACGACCCTTCAAATACGGTGTTTTAGAGCCTCGTGATCAATACGAAATATATCCACGAAATATATCCAATATATCTTGATAGATAAGTCTGAACACGCATATAATAGAGGGGAACACGGATTTCGGGTTTCTGCCGCCTGTCTTTGCTGGAGCATCATCAATATGATGGCCTTCTGTAGGAGAGGGCTGGCGTTGACGTTATTTACTTGAACTTTGTGAAGGCTTCTGTCAAAGTTGACCAAAGTTCTTCTCTGAAGGCTGAAGCTCTTGGGGGTTTGGAGGATAACGGCTGGTAAGGATCCTCAACGTGTTAACTGACTACACCCCCCAGACATCTAACTTTGAATCTACGTTGAATTAAACGTTGTTAGATTGAATCAACGTTGAATTAAACGTTTTTAGATCGAATCAACGTTAATTTAACATTGTTTCAAAGCTATATGCCTGGTGGGGTACATCGTAAAAGCTGCCGTCGTTGGATCGACAAAATGAAAGGGTAGCATAAATGAGAAGTGGCGTACAACAATGTTTGGTGTAGAACAATCTTTTACAATTTAGTACGGCGTTAATTGTGTCCTCGTAAATAGTTTTTTATAGACATTTGGACAATTATCAACGTCAAGGAGTTAGGTGTTAACCCTCTACCGCCGTATGTCACTTTCCGGGAACATAACTTTCAACTTAATTCACTTATACATAAACTCATGAGTGTAGCAACCTGGGACGTTTGAACGCAACAGAGAATATTTTAAAGTTGTCGTACGTGGCGGCAACCATCAGTGCAAGTCATTTTGCGCTCACTAGAACGTATTC